AGCTACACAGGGAAAGGAAAAGGCAGGATAGCACACATATCACCGGGATGTTCCAGGAGGAAAGGTGGGAGGAAGGGAGGCAGCAGAGACACACACACACACACAACACACACACACACACACACAAAAAAACACACATACCACTCACATTCTCCTCTTTCCCTCTCCTCCAGAGGGCAAGTCTCCCCAATCCCTCTCTCTCTCCTCCCTCTCTCGACAGAGCACGAGACAGCAAGAAGACCGAGATCCATACGAGGAGCAATACTTCTCAGCCTCTCTCCTCCTCTCTCTCTCTCTCGACTCCTCTTCTCTCTCTCTCTCTCTCTCTCTCCTTGTTTATAGGTCTGTAGTGATGCTTAGTTTTACTCATCTTACTTAAAGGGTTTTGTAGGGAGAAGATACAAAGTGACACTCGTCTCTCCTCGAAATCAAATCAGGGAGGGTGAGAGGTCAGGGGTTAGAGCTCTAGTGTCAGGGTTTAAGGGTTAGTGATTTATTATTCATTATTAATGTGAACTTTATCTTAAAGGGTGAAGCCTTTTAAGCTATCTTAAGATGTCCCTCCCTGCCTGCCTGCTGAAGATGTCAGTAGTGTGTGGGTGGGAACGTTCCCACCACAAAACAACTTCTGACAGCAAGGACATCACAAGAGAAGGAGCGAGGAAGGAAGAAATGAATGGCGGGAGGGAGGGAGGGAGGGAGGGAGGGAGGGAGGGAGGGAGGGAGGGATGAGTCTGTCTGTCTGTCCCAGTAGAATGATGGTCTAACATGAACACATCCTCATTAGGGAATCAGGGACTCAGTCTGTTTTTCCCTCTGGACCCCAGCTTACACTGTCTACCATCTGCAGGGAACACACACACAGGCACATACTCAGTCACACACATACACACACACAGGCACACACACACACACACACAAAGTATACACTGAGTGTACAACACATTAGGAACAGCTGCTCTTTCCATGACATAAACTGACCAGGTGAATCCAGGCTATGATCCCTTATTGATGTCAACTGTTAAATCCATTTCAATCAGTGTAGATGAAGGAGAGGAGACAGGTTAAATAATAAATGTTAAGCCTTGAGACAATTGAGACATTGATTGTGTATGTGTGCCATTCAGAGGGTGAATGGGCAAGACAAAATATTTAAGTGCCTTTGAACGGGTTATGGTAGTAGGTGCCAAGAACTGAGTGTGTCAAGAACTGCAACACTGCTGGGTTTTTCACGCTCAACAGTTTCCCGTGTGTATCAAGAACGGTCCACCACCCAAAGCACATCCAGCCAACTTGACACAACTGGGGAAGCATTGGAGTCAACATGGGCCAGCATCCCTGTGAAATGCTTTCGACACCTTGTAGAGTCCATGCCCTGAGTCTGTTCTGAGGGGAAAAGGGAGTCCAACTCAATATTAGGAAGCTGTTCCTAATGTTTTTCACACTCAGTGTATGTACTGTAGGTAGTTCAAACGAAGTGTTAGTGAAATGTGTTGAGTTCTTGAAGTGGCAGCGTCACAGCAGATAAACCTCTGTGACTGGAGATATTCTGCCTTCACACTCTGAGAGTTACAACTCTCTCTCTCTCTCTCTCTCTCTCTCTCTCTCTCTCTCTCTCTCTCTCTCTCTCTCTCTCTCTCTCTCTCTCGCTCTCTCTCTCACGCACATACATACACTCAGTCTGAGAGAACTCTCACACACACACACACACAGCATTTAGCATTGTGCTAAAACTTTTCAGCTACCCAAACATTCAGGAAGCGCTTTCCTTTGATTGCTTGCTTTGACTTGTTAAAACTAATCTCCTATAATAATATTGCTTATGGGAATCTATCATAAATATGCAAATATAATGACAAGCACTTTATGAGACAACTACAAAAGACATTTTGGTATTGAAATAATACCTTTTGATATGTTTAATACCTTTTTCAAGACATTTTCTTATTTCTGATTGAGGCACCCAGGTGCTTATCTGAGGTGTTTTAATGTGTGGCAGCAGGAGTGTTGCTCAATGTATGGCTTTAAAACACACGTTCACACGCTCACGCACACCCACACACTTACACACACTATCTCACATACACACACACATGCACACACACACACACACATTTAAACCTGCCTTTGAAGTGTGTGTGAGTGTTGTGAAGAGGCTTTGTGTTTAGTAGAGACAGTCTTTGTATCTTCACTGGAATTATATTTCTCACTTTTGCTGTTTTTCTGTCTGGCGAATCTGTCTATACCTCTCTATACCTCTCTTTCTCGCTCTCTTAACCTTCTCTCTGTCCCCCCCCTCTTCCCCTCTATCCCACTTCCTACTCTCTCTCTCTTAACAATTTTTTTTATTTTTTAGGGGGTAGATCAGCTTTAATATTGCAGATAGATTGTAACTTCCATCAATGTAATTGTCTGCATCACTTCCAATCCCCCATATGTATTTTTCTCTCGCAAATATATATATATATATATATATATATATATATATATAGATATATATATATATATATATATATATATATATACATATATATATATATATATATAATATATATATATATATATATATATATATATACATTTCCTTTTTTTAAATATATTTCCCTTTATTACTTTCCAACCCCACCACCCCTTCCCTAATTGGAGTAAACTAGTGCTTAGGCCTCTACTTCCAGCTTATACATACTATATACATTTTATGGACACAGTCAATTTTACAATAAGTCTATTTTGTTTATTTTACTCCTGAACTTCCTCTACCCTCAACCTCTCTGATCATTTTCATGATGCCATATCTTTCTAACTGTGCTCTTTCACAAAAGCTCTCAACCTATAACCTATATACTTATTATGGACACAGTATGCTTACATTATTAGTTATCTTGTTGTTATTAGTTGTTGTTAGTTGTTATTAGTCCCATCCTTCAACTCCATTCAACACGACCAATCTACAGTATCTCTTAACACCATCCATATTGGATTTCTATTTGCCATATATTTTTCAACTGTACTGTGATGTTTTACAAAAGTTCTGAACCTTTCTATTCTCATTGTTTCTCCAGATTATAAATTGAAAATAAACATTTTTGCTAAAAGTATTATTATATTATTGATCGATTGACTATGACTTTTCAGATCTCTCCTAACCTTCTCTCTATCCCCTGCCTCCCCCACCTTCCCTACTCTCTACCCCCTCCCCTCTCTCTCTTCCCTCCCTTCTCCCTTCTCTCTCCTCTCCAAGGTCTGTGGTAGTTCATGTGTCCAACTTTGATAGAGCTTACCATGTCATCAGACTGAACTTTCATTATGTACCAAGTCAGCTCTCATTAGACTGTGTGTGTGTGTGTGTATGTGTGTGTCCACGAAGGTAATGTCAATACCAGTGTCTGTGTTTACAGGATTCCTGGTCTAGTCTTAGATTACCTGTCTCTGTCAATATCAGGTCAGCTATAGCTTGTCGTGAACCAGACTGACGCGTGACAACGACGTGACTTTAGAGTTATGACAACGTGAGACTAGGTCAGCCATGTTATAGGCCTAGTTGTAGAAGGTAAATCCGAGTTCATGGGGAACCTTCCTGGATATATTTCAGGCTTCTTACTTACTGGCTTCCTGGATATATATCAGGATTCTTACTTACTGGCTTCCTGGATATATTTCAGGCTTCTTACTTACTGGCTTCCTGGATATATATCAGGATTCTTACTTACTGGCTTCCTGGATATATATCAGGATTCTTACTTACTGGCTTCCTGGATATATTTCAGGCTTCTTACTTACTGGCTTCCTGGATATATATCAGGATTCTTACTTACTGGCTTCCTGGATATATATCAGGATTCTTACTTACTGGCTTCCTGGATATATTTCAGGCTTCTTACTTACTGGCTTCCTGGATATATTTCAGGCTTCTTACTTACTGGCTTCCTGGATATATTTCAGGCTTCTTACTTACTGGCTTCCTGGATATATATCAGGATTCTTACTTACTGGCTTCCTGGATATATATCAGGATTCTTACTTACTGGCTTCCTGGATATATGTCAGGCTTCTTACTTACTGGCTTCCTGGATATATTTCAGGCTTCTTACTTACTGGCTTCCTGGATATATTTCAGGCTTCTTACTTACTGGCTTCCTGGATATATTTCAGGATTCTTACTTACTGGCTTCCTGGATATATATCAGGATTCTTACTTACTGGCTTCCTGGATATATTTCAGGCTTCTTACTTACTGGCTTCCTGGATATATTTCAGGCTTCTTACTTACTGGCTTCCTGGATATATTTCAGGATTCACCTAGTCCTTGTCCTGATTCGCCTCTGTTCTCCCAAAGTGTGCACTGGCACACTCCCTGTCATGGATTTCAAAGCATTGGATTGATGTAAGCATTGGCTGGAGGGAGTCTCCACCATCCATGACAGGGAGTGTACAAGTGCACACTTTAGGAGAAGGGTGGAGAATCAGGATGTAACACTAGAGTAGAGTGACTGCCTGTACCCGATGGTCGCTGTCCAGTCTCGTGTGGTGCTGAACTTCAGAATTCAGATTCCATCGCTGTCCGCTTCAGTGGTTCTGGATTTCAGATCTTCCCTATTAGCTTGATTGATTGATTCAGCATTGATTCCATCACTGTCCGCTTCAGTGGTTCTGGATTTCAGATCTTCCCTATTAGCTTGATTGATTGATTCAGCATTGAGCCTTTTACTCCTGTGACATTTACATTTTAGTCATTTAGCAGACGCTCTTATCCAGAGCGACTTACAGGAGCAATTAGGGTTAAGTGCCTTGCTCAAGGGCACATCGACAGATTTTTCACCTAGTCAGCTCGGGGATTAGAACCAGCGACCTTTCGGTTACTGGCACAATGCTCTTAACCACTAAGCTACCTGCCGCCAACCACATCATATTTGAGTCCAGACATGCATGTTAACATTCTGCCTTTTTCATTTCCCCTGACAGAGCACGATAAGCACCGTCTATGCAAGAGCACAGAGTACATGAACCTTCACTTCAAAGTCAAGTGGTTCCACAATGAGTACGTCCGCGAACTGGCTGCCTTCAAGGACACACCCCCTGAGTATTCTCTGTAAGTAGTGTGCTGCACACACACACACACACACACAGACACAGACACACACACACACACACACACACAGATGAACAAAGATTATGCCCCAAAAACATGCTAACCTCTCACCATTACCAATAACAGGGGAGGTAAACATTATTGGGGAGGTATGATATGTATGCCTCTGTAACTTTCTCACTCATCATTATTCACCATTCATTCATGATTAGCCGTGATCATGGTACATTCTTTAAAAAAAAATGTTTTAAAGGTTCTTCGGCTGTCCCAATAGTAGAACCCTTTTTGTCATGGAACCCAAAAGGGTTCTACCTGGAACCAAATAGGTTTTTTATTTTATTTTATTAGGATTCCCATTAGCAAACGCCAATGGCGACAGCTAGTCTTACTGGGTTCCGACACATAACAAAATTACAATAAACTATTACAATAAAACATAACAATTTACAATAAAAGGGACTCCAAAATGATACAATACATGATTTAACATTTCTATTGGGCACTACATAATCCCAAACACAACCAAAACAAACTGCAAATGCATCCAACAAGTTTGTAGAGTCACAAGCTTGATGTAGTCATTGTGTGCTAGGAATATAGGACCAAATACTACACTTTTGACTACATTTAATACACTATAAGTGAATTTGTCAAATACTTATGACACCTTCAAATGGGGGGACTAGATACATAAAGTGCTTTCATTTCTAAACGGTAAAACAGATATGTATGAAAATACCCTCAAATAAAAGGTGACATTCTGTACTGTCGCCTCATATAAAACATTTGATCTGAAATCCAAAATGCTGGAGTATAAAGCCAAATAAAATCACTTTCCAAACAAATACACACACCTTACACCACCTGAGTATTCTCTGTAAATACTACAGCACAGTGGAAATAAGCCTTTGTTTTATCCTTGATGATGTCATGTTGTCTCCAACAGGAGCAGCCACATTATTTTAATCAGTAAATAAATACAGTCATGCAATCAACCTTCACAAACACACCATACATGTAGAACTGAGTATTCTCTGGAAGTACTGTAATGTACCCACACAAACACACCATACATGTACAACTGAGTATTCTCTGGAAGTACTGTAATGTACCCACACAAACACACCATACAAGTACAACTGAGTATTCTCTGGAAGTACTGTAATGTACCCACACAAACACACCATACAAGTACAACTGAGTATTCTCTGGAAGTACTGTAATGTACCCATACAAACACACCATATATGTACAACTGAGTATTCTCTGTAAGTACTGTAATGCACCCACACAAACAAACAAACACCCAGTTCAGTTTACGTCCTGAATTGACTGAATTGAAATATAGTTTACCCCAACCCTGCCATACATGTTAAACCCCAAAGTGCTTTACAAATCAGCATTTAAAACTAGATAAAAAATTAAAGGAGAGAATGTCATGAGGGTCAGGTAAAAGACAGGTGATTGTATTAAATATGTAAAGATATGGAATACTGCTCTCTCAGACAACCTTGCTAGTGCCCTCTTAGACACACACCTCCCTGTCATTGTTGGTCAAACAGCGTCCAATCCATTACAGAGTGAGTTATGAATGACAGCTCACAGTCCCGCCCACCTGCTGCTGTCATTTAAACACAAAGCACCTTCAGGAGTTAAGGACACACACACACACATACACACACCGCCCACCTTATCACTTTCTCTTGTGACAGATGCCCTTAAACAAGGCGCACAGCAGGGAATACACTTTCAACACACACACACACACTTTGGATAGTATGTACAGTACACTCACAGTGTGTGTGTGTGTGTGTGTGTGTGTGTGTCCTCCAGGTGGTTCGAGCCATTTGTCATTCAGTGGCTGTCTGAGAATGAGGATGTTGCCATGGACTTCCTGCACGGAGCTCTAGGGAGCGACAAGAAGCTTGGCGTGAGTACTCACACACACTCTCCTCTCACCTCACTCACTCACTCTCACTCGTTCACTGTCTGGTAGTCCTCTGTCTCTTCTCAGTGAGGGATGAAGGAATAACAGCAGTGTTGACATACAGCACTCTGCTGCTCTGCTCTGCTCACTCCAATGAAATACTGCACCACTGTGAGATACTAAAGCTCTCTCTCTCTTCTCGCTTTCTCACTCTCTCCCTCTCTTCTCTCTTTCTCAATCTCTCTTCCCCTTCTCTCCCTATCTCTCTCTTTCTACTTCTCTTTCTTTCTCTCTCTCAATCTATCTCTCTCTCCCCCTTCTCTTTTTCTCTCTCGCTCAATCTATTTCTCTCCTCTCTTTCTCCCCCTTCTCTTTCTCTCTCTCTCCCTCTTTCTCTGTCTCTCTCTCTCTCGCTCGTTCTCCAGTTCCAGCCAACGTCGGAGCATGTCCTTTTCTCCTGTTCAGTGGTGGATGTGTTCACTCAGCTCAACCAGAGTTTTGAGATCATTAAGAAGCTGGAGTGCCCCAACCCACAGGCCCTGGCTCACTTCATGTGCCGCTTTGCTAAGGTCAGACACTAACCCCTAACCTAAAGTCCCTAGCTGTGTGTGTGTGTGTGTTTGTTTGTTTGACCGTGTGTGTGCGTATGTGTGTGTCCAATACTATTTCTAAGAGTGTTTTAATATTGTAACAACTCAATATTGTTCATTCCTTTTCTTGTTTGTTTTTCTAGACCATCAACAAAGTTCTGTTGCAATATGCTGCAATCATAACCAAGGATTTTGGATTGTATCTGAACCAGGAGAAAGTGGTAAGTGTTCTCTGGATGCATATAATGATCTTTCTGCACACAAAAAAAGATGGACCAGCCCATCTAGCATTTGCCCAAACTCCCCTATGGCCAGTCTGGTTGTGAATAGTACTATTATATGCTAGATTAATAATACTATGACTGTGTCTCTGTGACAGCCCTGCATTCTCATCAACAACATCCAGCAGCTCAGAGTTCAGCTGGAGAAGATGTTTGAGTCCATGGGAGGCAAACAGGTCTGTAGCAACCCCTTACCTTTATACATACCCCTTACCCTGTCCCCATCCCCTTACCCTGTCCCCATCCCCTTATCCTGTCCCCATCCCCTTACCCTATCCCCATCCCCTTACCCTGTCCCCATCCTCTTATCCTGTCCCCATCCCCTTACCCTGTCCCCATCCCCTTACCCTGTCCCCATCCCCTTACCCTGTCCCCATCTCCTTACCCTGTCCCCATCCCCTTACCCTGTCCCCATCCCCTTACCCTGTCCCCATCCCCTTACCCTGTCCCCCATCCCCTTAACCTGTCCCCATCCCCTTACCCTGTCCCCATCCCCTTACCCTATCCCCATCCCCTTACCCTGTCCCCATCCCCTTACCCTGTCCCCATCCCCTTACCCTATCCCCATCCCCTTACCCTGTCCCCATCCCCTTACCCTGTCCCCATCCCCTTACCCTGTCCCCATCCCCTTACCCTGTCCCCATCCCCTTACCCTGTCCCCATCCCCTTACCCTGTTCCCATCCCCTTACCCTGTCCCCCATCCCCTTAACCTTTACCCCCAACCCCTTACCCTGTCCCTCATCCCTTTAACCTTTACCAACCCCAACTCCATGGGAGGCAAGCAGGTCTGTATCTCTTCTTCACCCCTCATATCCCCATTTTCCCACACCCTCCATGGCCCTAATCCTAGTCCTACCCCATCAGACAATCCTCACCTTCCCCCTAGATCTGTCACCATCCCTGTGAAGACTGATTTTTATTCGCCCACCCTGTTCTGTTTCTCCACTCTTCTAGCTCTTCTCCCTCCATCCTGTCTGGTCTTGTGCGTTCTAGTTTGTTTGTTTTATAAATGTTGTTTTATACATGTTTGATAAATGTCTGGATGAAAGCCCTTAGTCTGTGTCTTGGGTTTCAGATATTCTAGCATGTCCCCCTCTATCTGTCTGTCTGTCTCTCTGTCTGTCTCTCTGTCTGTCTCTCTCTCTTTCTCTCCCTCTGCCTGTCTGTCTCTCTGTCTGTCTGTCTCTCTGTCTCTCTGCCTGTATGTCTCTCTTTCTGCCTGTCTGTCTTTTTCTCTGACTGTCTCTGTGTTGGTCTCTCTCTGCCTGTCTGTCTGTCTAATCCTGAGAATATAGCAAACGTTTTCTGTTATGTGCATGCTGTCTCTTTCCTCTTTCTAACGTTTTAAATGCCTTGAGTTTTGTCTTCTGTGGTCTTGTGTTTCCCCATTCTACTCTGCTCTCTCTCAAGGAGGAGGGGGCTGTGTCCTTTTGCAAGGTGTGTAGTATAGGACTCCTACCACCTACCATCCTAACCACCCTTTACTAAACATAGGACTCCTACCACCTACCATCCTAACCACCCTTTACTAAACATAGGACTCCTACCACCTACCATCCTAACCACCCTTTACTAAACATAGGACTCCTACCACCTACCATCCTAACCACCCTTTACTAAACATAGGACTCCTACCACCTACCATCCTAACCACCCTTTACTAAACATAGGACTCCTGCCCTCCTTTATTTTTAAATATGTATGTAATCTTTATTAATACAGGTAAGTCAATTAAGAACAGATTCTTAATTACAATGATGACTTGTCCTACCTAACACCCTTTACTAAACAGCCTACCTAACACCCTTTACTAAGCATATAACTTCTACCATCCTACCTAACACTCTTTTGTAAGCATAGAACTCCTACCATCCTACCTAACACTCTTTTCTAAGCATAGTACTCCTACCATCCTACCTAACACTCTTTTGTAAGCATAGAACTCCTACCATCCTACCTAACACTCTTTTCTAAGCATAGTACTCCTACGATCCTACCTAACACTCTTTACTATGCATAGAACTCCTACTATCCTACCTAACACCCTTTACTAAGAATATAACTCCTACATCCTACCTAACACCCTTTACTAAGAATAGAACTCCTACATCCTACCTAACACCCTTTACTAAGAATATAACTCCTACATCCTACCTAACACCCTTTACTAAGAATAGAACTCCTACATCCTACCTAACACTCTTAACTAAACATAGAACTCCCACCATCCCTAATATGCTTTATAACACCCTTTAGGCCTACTAAGGATATGTCTTCCACCATCCTTACCATCTTTCACTTAGAATAGGAGTTCTTACAAATGGTTGTGGTCATGCATTCTGTTTAACCTGATGAAGATCAGGGGCCGGCGCACAATTGGCCCAGCGTCGTCCAGGGTAGGGGAGGGAATGGCTGGCAGGGATGTAGCTCAGTTGGTAGAGCATGGCGTTTGCAACGCCAGGGTTGTGGGCTCGATTCCCAGTATGAAAAATGAAAAAATAATGTATGCACTCACTAACTGTAAGTCGCTCTGGATAAGAGCGTCTGCTAAATGACTAAAATGTAAATGTAAGATCCTCTGGATGGAAATGGTGGTAATTAGGACCATACAGTGTTAGGGACGTTTTCTATTTTAGCATAGGAGCCGTTAACTATCCCTACCACCATCTACTGAACTATAGTAAATGCATGTACCCCCACCTCTCACCCCGCACCCCCCCCCCCCCCCCCCCCCCCACCCCCCCCCAACCTATGCTTCTCCCACTCTCAGCAACACACACACACACACACCCCACCTACGCTCTGACCCTCTCAGCAGCATGTGCCACAGGGCATACGGAATCAGAGCTACCCATCTGTCAGCTAGTCCCCGCGCTCTGTCAGGGAGCAGTATTCATCCACAACACACACACACACACAGCCCACATTCTGTCACTAAGGATAATGGTTCCAACCCACCCGGTCCCACCATTTTTAGCTTGGTGCCTTTTTTCCTGGCTCATTTAGTGGAGTCGTCAGTGTCCCTCAGCCTGCAGCCTGGAGTCAGGGTCTTTTTGATTGCCTCTCTTTGGTCCCCAAGCTGAAGCTACAAAATGCTCCAGACAGGATTTCACAGAAACTCTGATGAGCTTCTCAAACGCTTACAAAACTCCCCAGCTTTGCTCTCTCTCTCTAAAGGAACGGTTCTGTTAATGAGGCGTCTGAACAGATAGAGTCTGCGTCCCAAATGGCACCCTATTCCCTATTTAGTGTACTACGTTTGAGAAAGTAGTGCTCTATAAAAGTAATGCACTATATAGGGAAAAGGGTGCCATTCAGGACACAGACATAGGCATGTCTGACTGAAAGGAAATGCTTTAGTTGGTTTGGCTGCAGCTGCTTGCATTAGACGTTTGACAGGTGATTTATTTAGGCGAATTGAGTGACAGGGATGTTGCATTATTCAGGAGAAACATACAATAGTAATTACAACCTGATAACGCTATAAACTACCTTGTCATTCAGGCATTAGACAGCTATTCCTAATGATCTCTAAACATAATGGATAATGCAGATTGATGAACTAAATGTTTTTTTTCCATTTAGGCAGACCTCAGCACAAAAACACATTACTGGCTAACTGGCAGTGAAAGTGTTCCCAACGCAATTAGCAAACTGAAAGCCACGGCAATTACACAGACCAATGTGCTATCCTAGAATTTGAAATAACACATATTTCAGGCTCTACATATCTTAGAATTAGAAATAATAAATCCGTCATTTCATAGGATTTGAAATAATAGATCAACTTCTGCAAGGCTGAGACAGAGACGTGAGAGAGAGTGGATCTCCTCTCCACTCAGAGGGTGAAGATAATATAGCTCTTATGATACATACAGAAAACATTCAAACAAGTGTTTCCATTATTTTGGCAGATCCCTGTATGTGCATGCTATGGTCAATAATACTGACAAACCGTATGTAAACACGTCAGTCTCTGAAACATGCTCAGGATAACAGCTTGATCACTGTGTAATGGCTTCTATAATGGCCTGCTATACACAACACCTGTCTCGACAAGCCATCCACCATCAGAACGAGATAGGATTAGAGAGCTGGTCTGTGGCTGCATGACTCTTATCTAACCTAAAGTGATGATCTGTCACACACACACACACACACACACACACACACACACACACACACACACACACACACACAGGCTTAATGTGATGACCTGTCATGCATATGGAGCAGCTAGCTTTTGTCACACATCTATCTCAGGGACCAGGCCTGAAACAGCTCCCACTCTCCAATACACACACACACACACACAGCAGAAACACACACAACACAAGCACACACAACACACACACACAGACTTCTGTGTGCAGAATAAGTGGCAATGTTACTGGTGAATTGTAGGATCTATAGAGTAGACTTAAACACATCAATGAGCAGGCCACTCTGAAAGTCTTTAGTCATTCTAAATGATGCTGTCTGCCCCTCTGTTCTCTTTTCAGTCCTCCCTGGAGTACACAGACAGGCCCTATAGATGTTACGTCCCAAATTACACCCTATTCCTTACATACAGTAGTGCATTACTTTTGACCAGGGCCCATAGTGCACTGTATAGGGAACAGGGTGCTATTTGGGACGCATCCAGTGTCCTCTCCTCCTGACATGGTACTGCAGAGGCATCCAGTGATGGGGGGACTGTGAGCCAGACACAACATGTGCTTAGCGTACTAAACATCTACTTGACTGACTATCAGTGAGTTGAGGTGGGAGCCTGGGTCCTGTGAGCTGACTGAGTGACAAAGGGACCATCACACACAGATAGATTAGATCTCCCCTTTAAAACACATTTAGAGGGTTGGGGATCTATCTGTCTCTGCCAAACCCTCTTGCCCTAAAACACCTTTAGGGTGCATCCCAAATGGCACCCTGTTCTCTACATAGTGCATTACTTTTGACCAGAGCCACTATATAGGAAATAGGGTGACATTTGGGACACACACTTAGAGTGGCTGTTGACCCCCTCCATGGCACACCCCTACTCTCACCCCCATCCTATCCACCCATCCCTCCCTGGCTTATCCAGTCTGAACTCTGTCCCCCTTTATGCCAGAGAGGCTGACATAGGTCGCATCCCAAATGGAACCCTATTCCCTTTATAGTGGACTACTTTTAATCAGAGCCCTATGGTCCCTAGTCAAAATTAGTGCACTATATAGGGAATAGGGTGCCATTTGGGACACTGACATATTGTTGTAGTGAAGTAATGATGTATTGGCATAGGGTCAGGTTCAGGGTTGAGATAAGAATAACTCAGACCCTGACATAAATCATTCATTGATGTCAATGAGAGACTCAACATGTAAAAATTTTTGAGTTATGGGATCAAGTCAGATGTCAAGTCAGAATGCCGCCCATAGTAATGTAGTGATGTAGAGATATAGTCTGTTTCCCAAATAGTATCCTATTCTTTACAGTGCACTACTTTTGACCAGAGCCCTATGGGCCCTGGGCACCCTATTCCCTATTTAGTGCAATACTTTTTAACATTTGACCAGGGCTCGCGTAGGGCTATGGTCAAATGTAGTGCACTATATAGGGAATAGGGTGCCATTTCAGACGCAGCCCCTGTGAGTCAAAAAGTTGAGTTATGTGCGCAGATCTCAAGTGAAAATAAGGCCCATAGTGATGCAGAGATATCGAGATGTATGATGTTAGTGATATAATGCTGTATTGATGTAGCAGCTAATGATAGGGCATCTCCCTGCCTGTTGCTGTTGCAGCTGGATGCTGAGGCCAGTGAACTACTGAAGGAACTGCAGAACAAACTCAACACCGTGCTGGATGAGCTCAGTGCAGTCTTCGGCTCCAGGTGTGTGTGGGGGGGGTGGGGTTCTGTGTGTGTGTGTGTGTGTGTGTCTGTGTGTGTGTTTTTGTGGCTGTTTCTGTTACTGTGTGTGTCTGTGGTCTGTGTGTGTCTGTGGTCTGTGTGTATCTGTGGTCTGTGTGTATCTGTGGTCTGTGTGTGTCTGTGGTCTGTGTGTATCTGTGGTATGTGTGTGTCTGTGGTCTGTGTGTATCTGTGGTCTGTGTGTGTCTGTGGTCTGTGTGTATCTGTGGTCTGTGTGTATCTGTGGTCTGTGTGTATCTGTGGTCTGTGTGTATCTGTGGTCTGTGTGTATCTGTGGTCTGTGTGTGTCTGTGGTCTGTGTGTCTGTGTGTATCTGTGGTCTGTGTGTGTCTGTGGTCTGTGTGTGTCTGTGGTCTGTGTGTATCTGTGGTCTGTGTGTATCTGTGGTCTGTGTGTATCTGTGGTCTGTGTGTATCTGTGGTCTGTGTGTATCTGTGCTAACCATGTGTTATTTCCCTGTCCAGTTTCAAGCCGGTGATTGAGGACTGTGTAAAACAGATGAACCAGGAGTTAGTCCAGATGAAGGGGAGTGCTGCAGGGAAGAGCAACGCTGCCATGGATGCTGAGACCGTCCTCAGACCACTCATGGACCTCCTGGATAAAAAGTAGGTCCCTATATGCATATTATCAGCTGGCTTAGAGGTTAGTAACCAGTAGCCTATCCATGGATCTCCTGGATAAAAAGTAGGTTTCTGTTTACACCTTTGAGTTAATATTGTAACCAGTTAGCCAAGAAGTGAGAGGGTGGGTTAGTAACCCGTTAGTTGAGAGGTTAGTAAACCCTCATGCAACTCCTGGATACAAAGTAGCTGTTTGTTTTCACCATGGAGTTACTGAGGATTTATATTGTGAGACTCAGTAGGTGTCTGAATGCATGTGGCAGTTATCCTAGTGGTTGGAGCTTTGGGTTAGTTAACCAGTTAGCCTAGTGGTTGGAGCTTTGGGTTAGTTAACCAGTTATCCTAGAGGTTGGAGCTTTGGGTTAGTTAACCACTTATCCTAGTGGTTGGAGCTTTGGGTTAGTTAACCAGTTATCCTAGAGGTTGGAGCTTTGGGTTAGTTAACCAGTTAGCCTAGAGGTTGGAGCTTTGGGTTAGTTAACCAGTTATCCTAGAGGTCGGAGCTAGAGGTCTGCATGGAACTGATGTATTCATCCCTCTCCCTCTCCCTCTCCCTCTCCCTCTCCCTCTCCCTCTCCCTCTCCCTCTCCCTCTCCCTCTCCCTCTCCCTCTCCCTCTCCCTCTCCCTCTCCCGCTCCCACCCACACCCGCTGGCTTTCTGTCTGACTCCCACCTGCTAGAGCAAGAACTGGTCCCAAACCCAACCGCAGTCCTGTAATGTTATTTTAGGCATAGGCCTATGTGACGACGCAGCTCACTTGCCAGCAGCCATGGTCGCAGCCATTTTGAAACCTATAGGCAATATCAAAATGTGCAAAAATAACTGAACATATAGGTTCATGGTTGTGGGAAGATGGGAGGGGGGGTTGCGGGGGGTCGGGGGATTTCTCTCCCTGCTCTGTGAATTCTGAGTGTGTGAATAATGCAACAAAGATGTGTTTATAATACAGTAGGTAGGTTAAAGCATACCAAGCAGAAAGACAACCGTTTCCAAATATACTGCGGGACAAACAAAAATAATTGAATCTGACCGCCCGCTCCCAACCGCAGCATGAAAAATGCAGACCGCCCCGCAATGATCTCTGTCAGGACACAATCTCTGATCTCTGTCAGGACACAATCTCTGATCTCTGATCTCTGCAGCCCTCTAGTTGCAGCCTTGGGTTAGGTAACCAGTTAACCAGTTAGCCTAGTACAGGGTTCCCCAACTGGCGGTCCACAAGCCACGTTTTCTGAGCAAATACAATTATAATAATTATTATTATAATTGTGGAAATCTGTTCCAAAGTATTCCCATGCATAATATATATTCCCACTCATAATAGAGATACACCAACATAAAGTGTCTTAATAGGGTGTTGGGCCTTCACGAGCCGGAACAACTTCAATGCACCTTGGCATAGATTCTACACGTGTCTGGAACTCTATTGGAGGGATGCGACACCATTCTTCCACTGGAAATTCCATCATTTGGTGTTTTGTCGATGGCGCCGCTCCAGAATCTCCCATAAGTGTTCAATTGGGTTGTGATCTGATGACTGAGACGGCCCTGGCATATGGTTTACATCGTTTTCATGCTCATCAAACTAATCAGTGACCACTCGTGTCCTTTGGATGGGGGCATTGTCATATTATGGGGGCAAAGCCATGGTAGCCAAAATAATGGCCAGCCCAGAATTTGTATACATGACCCCTAAGCATGATGGGATGTTAATTGCTTAATTAACTCAGGAACCACACCTGTGTGGAAGCACCTGCTTTCAATATACTTTGTATCCCTCATTTACTCAAGTGTTTCCTTTAATTTGGCAGTTACCTGTATATGTGATTGTATACAAATGTAAGCAAGGTTTGAAATTATTATGTTTTAGTCAAATATTATATCTGTTTGGGATTATTGCTGTCAATTTGCCGTCTACAAATGATTTGTAATAATGTTACGGCCTCCTGACCATCAGCTCAAGAAAAAATCGGCCTGCGGCTGAATCAAGTTGATGATCCCTGTCCTAGCAGTTCTAGAGTAGGTCCCATGCTGTGTAAAGGCAGGATGATATGGCTCTATTCCACATCAGAATAATCAGTCTGGAGGTGTTTTGGATACACTGGATTCAATATCAATACTGATGTAACCACTCCCCCTGCAGTAAAGAAACACACACACAAAAAACACAAACACACACACACAAACATACACACACAAACATACACACACACATGCGCACTGAAAAACATGTCAGTGTTTTTCTGTGTGTGTACATGCGTCTGTGTTTGTTCTTTGTGTTAATTTGTGTTTTCTATAGGGTAGGTGTTTCTCAGTGTGTTTAGGTGTGTGTGTGCGTGTGTGTGTGTGCGTGTATGAGTGCCTGTGTGCCTTTGTGTGTTTGTTATTGGTGTAGGTGTTTCTCTACTTCAGAGTGGTAACATCCATATTGATATTCAATCCAGTATTCACCAGGGAGCTGTATGTATTTCAACATTATCTTGTAGGCCATCTTCTCTACTCTGGCATCCACCCCTGAAAGAGTGTGTGTGTGTGTGTGTGGTGTGTGTTTGCTTGTATGTGTGTGTGTGTGTGTGTGTGTGTATGTGTGTGTGTGTGTGTGTGTGTGTAAGCTGTGATTCTCTCTCAGACACTCACAGCAACATCGAGGCCAGTGGGGTATTACAGTAGAATCCTCTTAATACTATGCAAAAACTAAATCCTTTCTCCTATCTCCTTAGCCAATGTTTTCCATTCACTGAGATTATAATGTAAAGCTGATGCATTTATTCCACATATCATGGCTTTTTGAACTTCACACGTGATTGTGTTTGTCCATGTTTGATCCTGTTGTCTTCCTATAGGCCCTGTGGCTTGACGTATGTGGCGTGTAACGTTTGAACGTGTTAAAGGGACATTTCACTCATACATTAAAGTTTGTCAGATGTTTTCAGACTTCTAAAGTAGTCTAACGTCTAGATGAAACCATGTCCCACAACATCAGTTGTGGAAATTCAGCTATATGCCTCAATCACAAATAAATAAAAAAGATAAGCACTGTCTAATTCCCTGGTTTTCCTGGTTTATTCTATGCTTATCTTTGGGGTGGATCTACACAACTGATGTCGTGGGACGGGGTTTCATCTTGGCATTAGACTACTTTAGAGGTCTCAAAACATCTCAAAAACGTTGATTTGAAAGTCTAATGTCCCTTTAACTTGATTGTGTTTCTGCTGTGGTTTTAGATCTGACTTTGACTGTTGGCTTTGCTCTGTTCTGCTCTGCTCTGTCTCTGTTCTGCTCTGTCTCTGTTTCTGTTCTGTCTCTGCTCTGTCTCTACTCTGTCTCTGTTTCTGCTCTGTCTCTGCTCTGTCTCTGCTCTGTCTCTGCTCTGTCTCTGCTCTGTCTCTGCTCTGTTTCTGTTCTGTCTCTGCTCTGTCTCTGCTCTGTCTCTGCTCTGTCTCTGCTCTGTCTCTGCTCTGTTTCTGTTCTGTCTCTGCTCTGTCTCTGTTCTGTCTCTGCTCTGCTCTGTCTCTGTCTCTGCTCTGCTCTGCTCTGTCTCTGCTCTGCTCTGTCTCTGCTCTGTCTCTGCTCTGCTCTGCTCTGCTCTGTCTCTGCTCTGCAGTTTGATTTTATTCGCAAAGATCTGTGAGAAGACGGTGTTGAAACGAGTCCTGAAGGAACTGTGGAAGATCGTCCTCAACACCATTGAGAGAATGATAGTCTTACCACCTCTCAATGACCAGAATGTGAGATGTTATGTTATATACACCAAACACACACACACACACACACACACACACACACACAGACATACAACACCAACAACACCATGGAGAGACAGATAGACCACTGTAAGCCATGAATCTATTCTAACCATGATGGCAGTACCTCTTACACTAGAGCAGAAGTAGGTTGCCATGGTTCTGGAGTGCTACAGGTACTGCACTGTTTACTTGCCCCCAACAGGCACCAAATGAGATAATTGGCCAATATCAGAGCTGGGCTAAATTCCACCTACTTTACCTGGTCTCTTTTAGGACTGAAGCAAAAAACTATCTAACAGAGAAATCAGTACAGTGCAGTATCTGTAACATTTCAGGACCAGCGTTGCCTACCTCTCTACCTCTGGCTGAAATGTCCTCTAGGCTGTATATACACACACACACACACACACACACACACACACACACACACAAACACACAAACACACACAAATATGTACAAAACACAGACACACCATAGAGGATAAGATGGTGTCTCCTTTTCTCTTTGTGTGTCAGTCATGCAGGAAATGTTAGTTAAGCCTGGATAGAGGAATGAAAAGCCAAAACCTGCTTTTCTAACCAACAGGCAACACTGACCAGGCTGACAACACCCAGAAGGGATGTTCTCAAACACACACACACACAGTCTTGTATAACTAACCTTTTGGGGACACAATTCTGTCCTGATCAAAATCCTATTTTCCCTAACCCCTAACCCTAACCTAACCCTAACCTTTACCCCAAAACCTAACCTTAACCCTAACCCTAAACCTAATTCTAACCCTAACACTAACACTAATTCTAACCTTAACCCTAAACCCCCTAGAAATAGCATTTTACCTTTTGGGGACTAACAAAATGTCCCCAGTTGGTCCCAAAAAAAACGTTTACTATTCTTGGGGAGACTTCTGGTCCCCACAAGTATAGTGAAACACGTCCATAGACACACACACACAAACAACAAAAAACGATTTCCTTTACTGTACCACCTTCGTGTTTCCTTTCACATTATATTCAGTATGTAAAGGCTTCAAAGGTGTATATATACAATATAACCCTGTCTGTCTGTCTTTTCTCCTCACAGCAAGGAGCCCAGATGATTTTCAGTGCTGCCAAGGACCTGGGACAGCTATCCAAACTCAAGGTAGGTCTGGGGCGTTCATGACACCTTACACACCATGAGTGTGTGTGTGTGCGTGCATTTGAGTGTGTGTGTGTGTGTGTGTGTGTGTGTGTGTGTGTGTGTGTGTGTGTGTGTGTGTGTGTGTGTGTGTGTGTGTGTGTGTGTGTGTGTGTGTGTGTGTGTGTGTGTGTGTGTGTGTGTGTGTGTGTGTGTGTGTGAGAGAGATAAAAACAGAGTTGAATAGGCACTACTGGGTGATCTGAAAAGTCAAAGTCAATCAATCAATACTATAATAATACTTTTAGCAAAAATGTTTATTTTCAATTTACAATCTGTAGAAACAATGAGAATAGAAGGGTTCAGAACTTTTGTGAAACATCACAGTACAGTTGAAAAATATATGGCAAATAGAAATCCAATATGGATGGTGTTAAGAGATAGATGGGATGTGTTGAATGGAGTTGAAGGATGGGACTAACAACAACTAATAACAACAAGATAACTAATGTAAAGCATACTGTGTCCATAATAAGGATATAGGTTATAGGTTGAGAGCTTTTGTGAAAGAGCACAGTTAGAAAGATATGGCATATAGAAGAAAACCGGATGGACATCATGAAAATGATCGGAGAGGTTGAGGGTAGAGGAAATTCAGGAGTAAAAACAAACAAAATAGAATTATTGTAAAATTGACTGTGTCCATAAAATGTATATAGTATGTATAAGCTGGAAGTAGAGGCCTAAGCATTGTTGTTCGCTAGTTTACTCCAATTAGGGAAGGGGTGGTAGGGTTGGAAAGTAATAAAAAAGGATATGTGCATATACAGTTGAAGTCGGAAGTTTACATACACTTAGGTTGGAGTCATTAAAACTAGTTTTTCAACCACTACACAAATGTCTTGTTAACAAACTATAGTTTGTTAGTTAGGACTACTTTGTACATGACACAAGTAATTTTTCCAACAATTCTTTACAGACAGATTATTTCACTTAGAATTCACTGTATCACAATTCCAGTGGGTCAGAAGTTTACTTACACTAAGTTGACAGTGCCTTTAAACAGCTTGGAAAATTCCAGAAAATGATGTCATGGCTTTAGAAGCTTCTGATAGGCTAATTGACATCATTTGAGTCAATTGGTGGTGTACCTGTGGATGTATTTCAAGGCCTACCTTCAAGCTCAGTGCCTCTTTGCTTGACATCATGGGAAAATCAAAATAAATCAGCCAAGACCTCAGAAAAATAATTGTAGACCTCCACAAGTCTGGTTCATCCTTGGGAGCAATTTCCAAATGCCTGAAGGTACCACGTTCATCTGTACAAACAATAGTACGCAAGTATAAACACCATGGGACCACGCAGCCGTCATAACGCTCAGGAAGGAGACGCATTCTGTCTCCTAGAGATGAACGTACTTTGGTGCGAAAAGTGCAAATCAATCCCAGAACAACAGCAAAGGACCTTGTGAAAATGCTGGAGGAAACAGGTACAAAAGTATCTGTATCCATAGTAAAACGAGTCCTATATCGACATAACCTGAAAGGCCGCTCAGCAAGGAAGAAGCCACTGCTCCAAAACTGCCATAAAAAAGCCAGAATATGGTTTGCAACTGCACATGGGGACAAAGACATCAGTCAGGAAGTTCAAGCATGGTCGCAAATGGGTCTTCCAAATGGACAATGACCCCAAGCATACTTCCAAAGTTGTGACAAAATGGCTTAAGGACAACAAAGTCAAGGTATTGGAGTGGCCATCACAAAGCTCTGACCTCAATCCTATAGAACATTTGTGGGCAGAACTGAAAAAGTGTGTGCGAGCAAGGAGGCCTACAAACCTGACTCAGTTACACCAGCTCTGTCAGGAGGAATGGGCCAAAATTCACCCAACTTATTGTGGGAAGCTTGTGGAAGGCTACCCGAAACGTTTGACCCAAGTTAAACAATTGAAAGGCAATGCTACCAAATACTAATTGAGTGTATGTAAACTTCTGACCCACTGGGAATGTGATGAAAGAAATAAAAGCTGAAATAAATTATTCTCTCGACTATTATTCTGACATTTCACATTCTTAAAATAAAGTGGTGATCCTAACTGACCTAAGACAGGGAATTTTTACTAGGATTAAATGTCAGGAATTGTGAAAAACTGAGTTTAAATGTATTTGGCTAAGGTGTATGTAAACTTCCGACTTCAACTGTATATGTATGTATATGTATTTATATGTATGAGTATGTATATGTATATGTGTATATATACATTCCTTCCAGTTCTCTGCTGCCAATGACTGGAACGAATTGCAAAAATCTCTGAAGCTGGAGACTCTTATCTCCCTCACTAACTTTAAGCATCAGTTGTCAGAGCACCTTACCGATCACTGCACCTGTACACAGCCCATCTGAAATTAGCCCACCCAACTACCTCATCCCTATATTGTTATTTATTTTGCTCTTTTGCACCCCAGTATCTCTATTTGCACATAATCTCTTGCACATCTAGCATTCCAGTGTTAATACTAATTGTAATTATTTTGCACTATAGCCTATTTATTGCCTTACCTCCATAACTTGCTACATTTGCACACACTGTATATATATTTTCTGTTGTATTTTTTTTGACTTTATGTTTTTTTACCCCATATGTAACTCTGTGCTGTTGTTTTTATCGCACTGCTTTGCTTTGTCTTGGCCAGGTCGCAGTTGTAAATGAGAACTTGTTCTCAACTGGCTTACCTGGTTAAATAAAGGTGAAAAAAAAAAAAAAAAAAACTTTTTTATATATATAAATGCGAGATGAAAAACGTATGGGAGATTAGAAGTGATGCAGACAATTACATTGATGGAAGTTACAATCTATCTGCAATATTAAAGCTGATCTACCCCCTAAAGAAAAAAATCAACGTACATCCTCCAGAGCAGTAGATCTGTGTTAGTTGGTTAGTTCCCATAGTGATTACATCCAGATTGAGGTAATCTCTGCTAAGCCAGCCCACTCCTCTCCTACACTAGTCATGCAACTTCACTTCATGCTATAAACCCATGACTAAACAGGCCAAGTGTTCATCATATTATGTAATCGTGGTTGCTTTCCAATCCGTCTACAGTTGAACTGTTTTTAATGTTAGATAAAGTCCCTTTATCTCTGCTCCTAAGTAAAAGATCTTCCCACAGTTACAATCTTTGATCACAGTCGCTCTTCTCATTTCATGTTCCAAGAGGCACAGCAGAAAGATAGGGAGACAGCATTGTGTCTGTAATGCACCATGATTGAGGAGCAATTTGCAAGCAACTGTACTGTCGCTGTCTGTACTGTTTTGCTGTATTCTCCTGCTGAATCAAATAATCTGATCTCACAATGTGTTTACCATCTCAGGAACCACATTAATAATACACTGTAAAGGGGTTGCCATGAATTTGACAGTAGCTTACAGGCAGCTCGGTGGCCAGTAAAATTAAGTATTTTATATTACAGTATGCCTCAAAATATGTTAATGAGCAAGAAACAACAATACCATGTACCCACTAGTGGTCAAAATGTTTTTGGCGCTCCAAAGATATGGTACGGTACTGTATTCTCGGTGGAATTACAGTACCATTTTAAATATAGCAATTTTCCCACAGTGCTCCATAATTTACAGTATGCTGCAGAAACATATTTTTGTTTTACTGTTGATAATTCCTAAAATGAATGTATAAATTACAGTTTTCCATGACAGTGTACATAGCAATCTTATCATATGCGAACATCTGAAATGTAATCTGGCTGTGTGTGTGTGTGTGTGTGTGTGTGTGTGTGTGTGTGTGTGTGTGTGTGTGTGTGTGTGTGTGTGTGTGTGTATGTGTGTGTGTATCCTCTCCAAGAAGAATGTTATGGAAACATGTATTAATGAATTGCTCTCTTTCTGTTCTCTCCTCTGTAGGACCATGTGATCAGAGAGGAAGCCCGTAGCCTGACACCAAGACAGTGTGCAGCCATGGACCTTGTCCTTCCCACCATCAAGGTAATGGAGAGATCTCGCTCTGTCTATCCATCCCTCTCTCCCCCCCTCCATCTGTCTCTCCCTCCATCCGTCTCGCCCACCATCCCTCTCTCTTTCCGTCTATCCCTCTCTTCCTCCATCCCTTTCGGCCTCCATCCATCCCTCCCATCCCTCCATCCCTTCCTCTCTCAATCCATCCGTGCCTCCTACATCCCTCCCTCCCTTTCACCTTCCATCCCTACCCTCATTCCTTTCTCCCTCTAACCATCCCTGCCTACCTTTCTCCGTCCCTGAATAGAAATGTTGTGGAAAGAGAGATGGACAGGGTTTTAACAGGGTAGTAGGGTTGTAATGAGAGTTTACCTAAAGGATAGTTGTAGAGTGGTGGCTGTTTTAACAGGGTAGTAGGGTTGTATTGAAAGTTTACCTAAAGGATAGTTGTAGAGCAGTGGCGGTCAGTGCTGTTTAAGATGAGGGAGGACGATTTTCTTTCATGAGCATGGCCTTATTTCTATTACAGCATATTGGATGACTCATTCATATTCCATTCACCCAGTTCAATTTACAGCGATAGGTTTACGCTACTACATGATACTCGAAGTTTCCCTATACCCATCACTAGCCTATGAGTGAAAGTTTAAACGCTGGTGCAAACAGGTCGAGAGATTTGAGGTGACAGACAGTCACATTCAATACCGCCTTGCACACCCTTGCCTGCATCTATCTGATATAGGGTGTAATCAATAGTCCAACAGTTGCAAACGAGAGTTTCAATTTGACAAATTCAGGTATGTTTATCCCCGTTTTGTTCCATTTGCTTCCGTTTAAGAAACGTTTTTCAACAGAATCGGCAGAATGAATACACCCTGATCACGCGTAAACAGAGTTCACTCTCATAACAGCCACATTCCTTCTCTTCCCTTTGCTTGTGGACTTCAATGCACAACAAATCAGCTGAATGTGACCAGGTGAAAAAACCTTTCCAAGCCAAACCTCTACAAACAGTCTACATCGTTGTCACCATATTAGCTAAAGTAACGTCATAGTCAGCATAGATAATATAACTAACGCGTTAGCAAACCCGCTACAATCATGCAGTAACGTAAGTGTACAATCAGTAAGCAGTTACACCGGCGGGGCCCGGTGGCAATAAATTAGTAATACCAAAAGCTTACCTTGACTTGGAAGAGTTCCAGTGTTGTGTTGGAAAGTCATAGCAAGCTAGATAACATAGCATCCCTCTGTTTGAGCAGGGTGTTTCAGTAAGCTAAACTAGCTAGCTGCATTTGCTAGCTAAGTAAGTGAATCTGCAAGTGAAAAAAAATAACGAAATCTTTCTCTCTCTATTTATCTCTTGCTTCTCCTTCATTTTGGAATAAATTAATTTGTTCAAACTGTTCAACTATTGTCTTTCTCTCTCTTTGAGTTAACTACTCATCACATTTTATACACTGCAGTGCTAGCTAGCTGTAGCTTATGCTTTCAGTACTAGTTTAATTATCTGATCCTTTGACTGGGTGGACAACATGTCAGTTCATGCTGCAAGAGCTCTGATAGGCTGGAGGACATCCTCCGGAAGTTGTCATAATTACTGTGTAAGTCTATGGAAGGGGGTGAGAATCATGAGCCTCCTAGGTTTTGTATTGAAACCAATGTACCCAGAGGAGGACAGAAGCTAGCTGTCCTCCAGCTACACCATGGTGCTACCATACAGAGTGCTGTGGAGGCTACTGTAGACCTTCTTTGCAAAATAGTGTGTTTTAATCAGTTATTTGTTAACGTGATTATATTTAGTATAGTTTTAACTTTATGTTTTATGATATTCACTGAGGAGGATGGTCCTCCCCTTCCTCCTCTGAGGAGCCTCCACTGTTGTAGAGTGGTGGCTGTTTTAACAGGGTAGTAGGGTTGTAAGAGAGTGGAGGTCTTTAAGAGGAGTAGCAGTGCTGAGAGGAGTCGATGCAGTCAGTAAGTGCTTCCCAAATGGCACCCTATTCCCTACATAGTGCACTACTTTTGACCAGAGCCTTTTGGGTGCCATTTGGGATGAAGACAGTTCAGACCGGGGTCTGTGTGAACACTCAACGCAGCGCCGTGAAACAGAATCTAATTGATTCCTACATCTCCATGGACACCAGCTCCCTGTTTAGATCAGTCATGCTGTGGAATTCTCTCCATCAGTATTCCGAGGAGAATGTCCAATTAGAGGAGTTGAGTAATGCCTCCAGGAGACTCTGGCCAATCACAGTTAAGTAATACCTTTAGGTGGAAGAGATACACAGGCTGCATGCAGGACTGGTTAAAGACTTAAAGGAAGAGAGAGGGGAGGGAGAGATGGGGGAGAGAGACTAGCAGAGATACACAGGCTGAATGCAGGACTGGTTAAAGACTTAAAGGGAGAGAGGGGGGAGGGAGAGATGGGGGAGAGAGACTAGCAGAGATACACAGGCTGAATGCAGGACTGGTTAAAGACTTAAGGGAGAGAGGGGGGAGGGAGAGATGGGGGAGAAAGACTAGCAGAGATACACAGGCTGAATTCACTGCTGGTTAAAGACTTAAAGGGAGAGAGGGGGGGGGAGGGAGAGATGGGGGAGAGAGACTAGCAGAGATACACAGGCTGAATGCAGGACTGGTTAAAGACTTAAAGGGAGAGAGGGGGGAGGGAGAGATGGGGGAGAGAGACTAGCAGAGATACACAGGCTGAATGCAGGACTGGTTAAAGACTTAAGGGAGAGAGGGGGGAGGGAGAGATGGGAGAGAGAGACTAGCAGAGAACCAGGTGATGCAGGACTGTAAGACTTAAGGGAGAGAGGGGGGAGGGAGAGATGGGGAGAGAGTAGCAGAGATCCAGGCTGATGCAGGATGGTAAGGGGGGGGAGGTGGAGAGGGGGCAGGAGGGAGGTGGAGAGGGGGGCAGGAGGGAGGTGGAGAGGGGGGCAGGAGGGAGGTGGAGAGGGGGGCAGGAGGGAGGTGGAGAGGGGGGCAGGAGGGAGGTGGAGAGGGGGGCAGGAGGGAGGTGGAGAAGAGGGAGGTGGAGAGGGGTACAGGAGGGAGGTGGAGAGGGGGGCAGGATGGAGGTGGAGAGGGGTACAGGAGGGAGGTAGAGAGAGGGGAGGGGGAGGTAGAGAGAGGGGAGGGGGAGGTAGAGAGAGAGAGAGAGGAGAGGGGGGGGGGTAGAGAGAGGGGATGACAGAGAGGGGGAGGAAGGGAAATTGATAGGGCGGTAGTTAGGGAGAGGGATAGAGAGAGGGAAAGAGACAGAAAAAGAAATGGAACAAAAAGGATTGGAATTCTGAAGAGGAAACATTTGTATGGTGTTAAATGTAGTGCTGAAAAGCAAAACCATTAAATGATTTATCCGGTGTTGGTGAGATGATAATATGATACACCTATTCGTGTATGTGACAAAAAATGTTTTGTTGTGGATGTTATTGTTGGTGTTGTATGGACCAGTTCTTGGAGTTGGTGTTGTATGGACTAGCTCTTGGAGTTGGTGTTGTATGGACTAGCTCTTGGAGTTAGTGTTGTATGGACTAGCTCTTGGAGTTAGTGTTGTATGGACTAGCTCTTGGAGTTAGTGTTGTATGGACCAGCTCTTGGAGTTAGTGTTGTATGGACCAGCTCTTGGAGTTAGTGTTGTATGGACCAGCTCTTGGAGTTAGTGTTGTATGGACCAGCTCTTGGAGTTAGTGTTGTATGGACTAGCACTTGGAGTTGGTGTTGTGTTGGATACGTCTTTGATGGTTTCTCTGCCATTCTTCCCCCATCAACACCAACAGTATCTACAGAGTGAATCTGGGCTGTGCCTTTTCTGCCGAGGCAGCAGAGCTACAGAGCTTAGTCCCAAATGGCACTGTATGCCCTAAGTAGGACACTACTTTTGATCAGAAGTAGTTTGCTATAGGTAATAGGATGTCATTTGGGACACAGAGCCACAGCACTTAGGATCATTTACTCTGAGCAGCTTTGGCTCATTGACTCAACCCACTGTTTTCAGACTATATCCGCCTGATGATGATATGCCATAATGCATCAGTGACTGGATTATATCTGAACATTACTTCCTTGTTCCAGAGCACATGGAGGATGACCTGTGAACTCATAAACTCCAGTGAGGTGGAGAGTGTGTGTGTGTGTGTGTGTGTGTGTGTGTGTGTGTGTGGACGTGTTTAACTATACTTGTGGGAACCAGAAGTCCCCACAAGAATAGTAAACAAACTAAAATTTGACCAACTGAGGACATTTTGTTAGTCCCCACAAGGTCAAATGCTATTTCTAGGGGGTTTAGGGTTAAGTTTAGAATTAGTGTTAGTGTTAGAATTAGGTTTAGGAGCTAGGGATAGTTTTAGGGTTAGGGTTAGGAGCTCGGATTAGGGTTAGGGTTAGGGTTAGGGTTAAGGTTAGGTTTTGGGGTTAAGGTTAGGGATAGAGTTAGGGAAAATAGGATTTTGAATGGGATGTAATTTTGTGTCTCCACAAGGTTAGTTGTACAAAACTCTGTGTGTGTGTGTGTGCTCATGAACTCATAAACTCTAGTGGGGTGGAGAGTGTGTGGGGGTGGTATATGTATATGTGGCAGAGGTGGCAGGGCTTGAAGCAATTATCCTCTGTCTTAATGCAACACTACACAGTACATAGTTATTAGGCCTACTGCTGCCAGCCTGGATAAGCATACATAGTTATTACCTCTTCCACACTGTCTTCCACACAGTCTGGTCTGAAGATGTGAAAAGTACATGAACTCTGTACGTGTTTTATCTGGTCTGCGTGTACCCGAATTGGATTGGTAACCTCACTCCTCAGATTGAAATGCCTTGAATTGCTAGCTTTTTTGGTGGTGTAGCTGGCTAAGACGTTGTCAAGAGGGCTGTCACGTGTGTTTGCGAGACAGAGGACCTGAGATGAAGTTGCGGATTTGTGAGGGAGGAAGATGTATTGTTAAGTAAGCAGTTTGACAACTGTTACATAAGCAAACATGCTTATTATCTCTCCCACACAGTCTCCTATATTTACATTTACATTTACATCATTTAGCAGACGCTCTTATCCAGAGCAACTTACAAATTACAGTCTGGTCGGAAGGCTGAAAAGTACATGAACTCGGTGAATGTGGTGAATGAAAGCTTACCCAAGTAAACTTCAGCTCAGCTTTAACAAAAAGGGTAATCAGGTGCTCAACTGAGGGGACAATTCCGAAACATTGTCCTTACTCCAGGACACTTCAACAGGTGACTATCCCAGAAAAGAAAAAGGAACACTGTCTGCATATACAGAATCTTTGTTTTACGGGACAGACAAGCAGGCTAAATGTACTGACTCTGTCAGCATATACAGAATCTATGTTTTACGGGACAGACAAGCAGGCTAAATGTACTGACACTGACTGTTCTCTTTCTGGTCTCTGACTCAGTACGCTTTCCTTCTTTCTTTCTTTCTTTCTCTTCTCCGTAGCAATATTTCCACGCTGGAGGAAACGGTCTGAAGAAGACGTTCCTTGAGAAAAGCCCTGACCTCAAGTCCCTCAAATACGCTCTGAGCCTTTACACACAGCCTACTGATGCCTTGATCAAGAAGTATATATGCACCCAAACCTCTCAAGGTAAGGACACTGAGCTAGTATATATGCACCCACACCTCTCAGGTAAGTGACAACTGAGCCCTGAGCAGATATCACCCAAACCTCCCAAGGGTGAAGGACACTGGGCTAAGTAAAAAGAGATGCACCCCAACCCTCTCAAGTTTAAGGACACTGAGCTAGTAGATATGCACCCAAACCTCTCAAGTTAACTGACACTGAGCTAGTAGATATGCAACCCAACCCTCTCAAGTTTAAGGACACCTGGAGCTAGTAGATATGCACCCAAACCTCTCAAGTTAAGGACAACTGAGCTAGTAGATGATGCACCCAACCCATCTCACGTTAAAAGGCACATGAGTACAGTAGATATGCACCCCAAACCCTCTCAAGTTTAAGGACACTGAGCTAGTAGATATGCACCCAACCCTCTCAAGTTAAGGACACTGAGCTAGCAGATATGCACCCAAACCTCTCAAGGTAAGGACACTGAGTTAGTAGATATGCACCCAAACCTCTCAATGTAAGGACACTGAGCTAGTAGATATGCACCCAACCCGCTCAAGTTAAGGACACTGAGCTAGCAGATATGCACCCAAACCTCTCAAGGTAAGGACACTGGGCTAGTAGATATGCACCCAACCCTCTCAAGTTAAGGACACTGAGCTAGTAGATATGCACCCAACCCTCTCAAGTTAAGGACACTGAGCTAGTAGATATGCACCCAAACCTCTCAAGGTTAAGGACACTGAGCTAGTAGATATGCACCCAACCCTCTCAAGTTAAGGACACTGAGCTAGTAGATATGTACCCAACCCTCTCAAGTTAAGGACACTGAGCTAGTAGATATGCACCCAAACCTCTCAAGTTAAGGACACTTCCCCCAGTATATACACCCTAACCACTCAAGGGAAGAACACACTTCATCTGTGTCACCAAATGTCTCTGAAAGTCCACAAATGTCCTCTCTAGAGGTTAGGGTTAGAGTTCAGGGTTGGGGTCAATTCCATTTCAGTCAATTCAGGAAGAAATAACAATTCAATTGTTTTTCTCATAGAGAAGCATTGAGGGAAATAGGAATTAGAATTTCAGTTAACTTCCTCAATTGACCCTAACCCTGTTCACAGGAGGCTGGTGAGGGGAGGACAGCTCATATTAATGTCTGGAATGGAATGGTATCAAACACATGAAAACCATGTGTTTGATGAGTTGGATACCATTCAATTTATTCCGTTACAGCCATTACTATGAGCCCGTCCTCCCCAATTAAGGTGCCACCAACATCCTGTGACCCTGTGATAGTTCTCCTTGCTTCTCTTACAGTGGGCTACAGTGTTTTTCCATGTCAGCTTGGTTTCTCTCCAGTTTACCGTGTGAGATGGTTATTGCAGTAATTGCATTTTTCCATCATCCACTGTCTTCTTCAATCCCTTTCTCTTTCTATTTTACTGTTGCCTCTTTCTCTCTCTCTCTCTCTCTCTCTCTCTCTCTCTCTCTCTCTCTCTCTCTCTCTCTCTTCTCTCTCTCTCTCTCTGCTCTCTCTCTCTCTCTGGCGCTCTCTCTCTCTCTCTCTCTCTCTCTCTCTCTCTCTCTCTCTCTCTCTCTCTTTTGCTCTCTCTTTCCCTCTCTGTCATTCTCTGTCGCTTTCTCTAACTCTATGTCACTCTATCTCTCTCTTGCTGTCTCTATATCTGTCCCAGTTCCATGCTGTGTTTAACTGTGTCTCTGTGGAAGTGTAGGTTTTCTGTTTTCATGACAGAGTAGAGCTACCTGATGGTCTATCTAGGGGGATGGGACCTCAGTGTGGCTTAGTCCAGCAGAGCAGAGCAGTGGAGCTGCACGCCTTTCTATTTCCTCAGTACTCAGCCTAGCATGACACTGGTCCTCTACAGGCTGGAGAGGAGAGGAGAGGAGAAGAAGGGTGAGGAGGAGAGGAGAGCAGGAGATAGGTGGAGAGGAGAGGAATGGGAGGAAAAGGGATGAGAGGAGGAGAGGGGAGGAGGGGAGTGGAGGGGGAGAGAGGATAGGGGTGGAGAGGAGAGGGACAGCAGCCTCTGCAGACCTACTCTCTGAAAATCTGTGGTGTTTACATGTCTATTCTGTTGGTTAGCTTTAGGGCAACTAGGGGTTGTGAGAGAAACTCTGGAAGAAAGAAAAAATATTGTGCCACTTGGTTCATAGAATCCGTTAGACTAGCAGAGGGAGGATGGCTAGTTTATCAGCCTGCTAGGTTGTTAGTGGGTTTTAATATTGCAGATAGATTGTAGGTTCTATCAATGTAATTGTTTGCATCATTTCTAATCCCCCTTATTTTATTGTTTTATTCTACACTTCTTTCCCGGCTATCCTACCATCCCTAACCTGATTGGAGTAAACTAACAGACAACAATAATTCTACTGCTACAGCTATTTTCACTCACATCTACAGTACCTGTAGTTAAATAATAAATAATTATATACTTCTTTCCACAAGTGCTGGATTTTCACCCACAGCGGCCAATCCACCATTCATTCTGATCTTAACTCTCTGATGTCCACAGATCAACCCATCTTTCCCAGTATAACACCATTTTGATATTTCCTTTAGCAGTACATCCCTCCATTTTACTGATGTCTTACAAGGGTCCTCAACCTCCCTATTTGTAACATTTCTACTGATATTGTACTAAAAATAAATACTTTTCCCAAGAGTATAATGATATTTCCCATTGACTGATCGTGGTTTTTCAGATCCCCTAACAAAACAGTTTGCAGGTCCATCTGAACCCGGATATTATGACATAACAACCATTCCTGGTCCTGACTCCAAATGCGAGCCACCGATGGACAGTACCAGAAAATATGTTATATTAATTATGTTTCCTCATGGCAGAGTCTGCAGAAGGCTGACTGTTCAATGCCCCATATATTGAGCATTGTTTTTGTAGCAAGTATTTTATATAGTAGCTTAAATTGAAATGAACCGATTGATGAGTCAATTGTTGTTTTATATGTCAGTTCATAGACCTGATGCCAAGGTATTGGGACATCAAAACACTGTTCCCAACTGACTTGAATTTGATATGGTTGTTAGTGTTGATTTCCCCAGGTCCAGGTCTTAATTGTGTTGTAGTAATGTTTCTCGTCCCCTCTCCTACACACACACACACATTTCCCCTGTTCCAGGTCTTAATTGTATTGATGTGATATCCCCCTCCTTAATCAGGATCCATTCATCAGCTCTCTCTCTCTCTCTCTCTCTCTCTCTCTCTCTCTCTCTCTCTCTCTCTCTCTCTCTCTCTCTCTCTATCTGTGTCTGTCTGTCTCTCTGCTCTCTGTCTCTCACTCTCTCTCTCTCTCTCTCTCGCTCTCTTTCTTTCTCTCTCTCTCGCTCTCTCTCCCGCTCTCACCTCTCTCTGTTAATGACACAACAGACACACAAACAACAGTACACATCTGTCTGTGTTACTACCCCCACGTCTGTCTGTTCTGTCTGTGTTACTACCCCCACATCCGGCTGTTGTGTCTGTGTTACAACCCCCCTGTCTGGCTGTTGTGTCTGTGTTACTACCCCCCCCAAATGGATGTTGTGTCTGTGTTACTACCTCCCCGTCTGGCTGTTGTGTCTGTGTTACTACCCCCCACGTCTGGCTGTTCTCTCTGTGTTACTACCCCATGTCTGGCTGTTCTCTCTGTGTTACTACCCCCCATGTCTGGCTGTTCTCTCTGTGTTACTACCCCAACGTCTGGCTGTTCTCTCTGTGTTACTAACCCCCACGTCTGGCTGTTCTCTCTGTGTTACTACCCCCCACGTCTGGCTATTCTCTCTGTGTTACTACCCCCCACGTCTGGCTATTCTCTCTGTGTTACTACCCCCCACGTCTGGCTGTTCTCTCTGTGCTACTACCCCCACGTCTGGCTGTTCTGTCTGTGTCCATGTTTCTGTCTCTCTGTCTGTCTTTCTCTCTCTCTTACCCCATCTTTCTCCTCCTCCTCCTCTCTCTTGTTCATCTCTAGCTCTCTCTTTCTCTCTCTCTCTCTCTCTCTTACCCCCCTCTCCTCATCCCTATTTCTCTCTCCCTCCCTCTCTTTCTCTATTATCCCCACTCTCTTCCTTTCTCTCTCCTGGGTCTGTCATTGAGTGCACCTCCATATTTAATGTTTGTTTGTTTGTTTGTTCTCTGCTCCAGAGAGGGTAGTGGTCCTAAATGTTTGGAGTCTCTGTGTAGGCCAGCACTTTGCGTTACCATTCTGTGTGTGTGTGTGTGTGTGTGTGCATGCGTGCCTGTGTCTGTTTGTGTGTGTGTGTGTGTATGTGCGTGCGTGCGTGCATGTGTTCCATTCTGTTCTGTTCTTTTACTCAGAGCTTAATGCATTTATCTACGGCTCCATATGTTGTTTTGTTTTCTATGTAGCTTGTTTTTCTTATGTCATTGGTTTCCAGAGAACCCTACTTCTCAGTGACACAGGAGGAAGTGGAGTGAGTCATTCACTTCTTGTTGCAGTTTATGTTTCAGTCACTACACACAGGGGTCTCTTCTCTACCTTTCTGGATCAGTGTGTGTGTAACCTTATTTGAGATGCAGTGTTTCTGTCTTTTTTACTTTCTGTCTCTCCTTTTCTCTCATTCTGTCTCTCCTCTCTCTCTCTCTCTCTCTCTCTCTGTCTCTCCTTCTCTCTCTCTGTCTCTCCCCTCTGACTCTGTTACAACATGTGGTTGTAATGACTTGCAGGTCCGTGCAGGTGACGATTCTCTCTCTCACTCTCTCTTTCTCTCCCTGCGTCTGCTACTTTGCGTCCCCCTCTCTCACCCTCCTCTCTCTCATCTCTTCCGGCGACGTCCCTCTCTCTCCCCGCTCTCGTCCCTCCCTCGTCGCACTCCTCCTCTCTCCTCCTCTCTCTCTCTGACGGTAGTGTTATATGGTGGTCTCCAGGTGAAGATTCTCGCTGTGCTCTCTCTCCTCCTCCTCGCTCTCTCTCACTCTCCTCCTCCTCATCTCTCTTCTTCTCTCTCCTCGCTCTCTCTCTCTCTCTCTCTGACAGTAGTGTTGTGTTGTTGGTCTGCAGGTCAGTCTACAGACAGCTCCGTGGGGGAGGTGTCCATGCAGGTGGATCTCATCTCTCACCCTGGCACTGGAGAGCACAAAGTCAACGTGAAGGGTGAGACACACACACACACACACACAAGCACTCGCACATCCCATTCCTGTACACACAAACACACACACGCACACACAGAGGAAGAAAGCAGAAACTGTGAAACAATTAAACCTGACTTTACAGCAACGATTTATCATTCTTAGTCAAATCTATTCACACCTGTAATGTTCAAAGAGGAACCACTGGGAGGAACATGGATAGTTGGATTGTAGTTGATGTATTCTAATGGTAAAGCTGTGGTCATTATCAGATAGGATTTCTGCTACACTGCGTCCTACTGTCTGTTGGAGACTTCTATAGAGAATAATAACCACCATAGCATAAAAACACACTTCTGAGGGTATCATTAAAACCCTACATTTTACAGAACACTAGTTAGACAGAGACAGTGGCTGTGTTACATAGGCAGCCCAATTCTGATATTTTTTCCACTAACTGGTCTTTTGACCAATCACATCAGATCTTTTCACATCAGATATTTTTCAGAGCTGATCTAATTGGTCAAAAGATAAATTAGTAAAAAAAATATCTGAATTGGGCTGCCTGTGTAAATGCAGCCGGAGTGACTCACACTCAATGACCAGTGGTTTAAGAACACGTGTTTTATTTAAAAGTAAATGGACCAGTGGTTTTACAACAAGTAACTTATTTAAGTTTACATAGTGGATGGATGGATGGATGGATGTGTGCATGGATGGATGATTTGATTGACTGATCGATTGATTGATTGATTGATTGATTGACTGATTGATTGATTGATTGATCGATCGATTGATGTATTAATTAATTAATTGATTGGTTGATTGATTGATTGATTGACTGTGATTGATTGGCTGATTGATTGATTGACTGATCGACTGATTGGTTGATCGACTGATTGACTGATCAACTGGTTGACTGATTGCTTGATTGATCGACTGATTGATTGATCGACTGATTGATTGACGTGTCTCTGCTGTTCCTTTGCAGTGGTGGGGGTCAACAACCTAAGCTGGCAGACCAATGCCATGTTCCGACCGTTCGTGGAGGTGAATGCGGTCGGACCGCACCTCGCCGACAAGAAACGCAAGTTCACCACCAAGACCAAGAACAACAATTGGTCACCAAAATACAATGAAACATTCCAATAGTAAGTCTGGTTTATTGTCTAAATTTAGTCTGGTTTATTGTCTAAATAAGTCTGGTTTATTGTCTAAAGGTCTGGTTTATTGTCTAAAGTAAGTCTGGTTAATTGTCTGAAGTACATGTCACGATCGTCTTGAAATGAAGCGGGCCAAGGCGCAGCGTGAGATGCGTACATATTTATTACTTGTACAAAACAGCGAACAAAACAACCAACGATACGTGAAGTCCTTCGACACAAAACACAAATCAAAAGGAACAAGAAACCACAACCACAAAGTGAAAACAGACAGTTTAAATATGGCTCCCAATCAGAGACAACCAGAAAACAGCTGACACTCGTTGCCTCTGATTGGGAGTCACTTAGGGCAACACAGAAAACAACAACCTAGAAAACCCAACATAGAAACAACCCACACAGAACGAACACACCCTGGCTCAACATACAGAGTCCCGGAGCCAGAGCGTGACAGTACCCCCCCCCTAAAGGCGCGGACTGCGCCCGCGCCTCAAACGTAGCAAAACAGGGGAGGGCTGGGTGGGCATACTTCCTCGGTGGCGGTTCCGGTTCCGGGCTTGACCACCACCCCTCCATAATCCCCCCGTAGCGCCCCTGGTCCGGTCTGACCCCGCTGGCTGGATCTGGATGGACATCGACGGAGCAGATTGCTTAAGCTCCATTGTGGAGCAGCTGACCTGTACCTGATCAGGCACCGGACTGACGACGCGCACCCCTGGCTTGGCGCGTGAGGCAGGAACGGACCGGACCTGGCTGACGATGCGCACCCCTGGCTCGGTGCGTGGAGCAGCAACGGACCGGACCGGGCTGACGATACGCACCCCTGGCTTGGCGCGTGAGGCAGGAACGGACCGGACCTGGCTGACGATACGCACCCCTGGCTTGGTGCGTGGAGCCGGAACGGGCCTCACCGGACTGACTACTCGCATCCCTGGCTTGGTGCGAGTAGCAGGAACAGGCCGGACCGGGCTGGCGACGCGCACCGTAGGTTTGGTGCGAGTGGCATGAACAGGCCGGGTCGGGCTGGCGACGCGCACCGTAGGTTTGGTGCGAGTGGCAGGAACAGGCCGGGTCGGGGCTGGCGACGCGCACCGTAAACTTGGTGCGGGTGGCAGGAACAGGCCGGACCGGGCTGGTGACGCACACCGTAGACTTGGTGCGTGGAGCAGGGACAGGCCGGGCTGGGCTGGCGACGCACCCTGTAGGCTTGGTGCGGGGAGCAGGAACAGGCCGGACAGGGCTGACGACGCGCACCACAGACTTGGCGCGGGGAGCAGGAACAGGCCGGGCCGGGCTGACGACACGCACCACAGGCTCGATGCGAGGACAGGAACAGGCCGGACCGTACTGGGGACACACACCACTGGCCCTACGCAGGGATCAGGAACGGGCCGGACCGGACTGGTAACACACCCCAGTACCTCTCGCCGTGCCTCCACACTTTCCCTCTCCTCTGTGACCGGTGGCCCCCTTAACCTGGCGGCCCTCTCTGCCAACCTTCTGCACCACTCTATCCCGTACTCCTGCTGCCCCGTCGTCCACGGCGTGAGCCCCCCCCTAAAAATTTTCTGGGCTTGTCTCTCCCCCGTGGACCAGGCCTCCATGGTTCTCGTCCAATTCTCTCTCCACTTTTCATAATTCCAGCCTTTCTCCTCATCACGCTGCTTGACCCCGTCGTGGTGGTTTCTTCTGTCACGATCGTCTTGAAATGAAGCGGGCCAAGGCGCAGCGTGAGATGCGTACATATTTATTACTTGTACAAAACAGCGAACAAAACAACCAACGATACGTGAAGTCCTTCGACCACAAAACACAAATCAAAGGAAACAAGAAAACCACAACCACAAAGTGAAAACAGACAGTTTAAATATGGCTCCCAATCAGAGACAACCAGAAAACAGCTGACACTCGTTGCCTCTGATTGGGAGTCACTTAGGGCAACACAGAAAACAACAACCTAGAAAACCCAACATAGAAACAACCCACACAGAACGAACACACCCTGGCTCAACATACAGAGTCCCGGAGCCAGAGCGTGACAGTACAATTAAACAATCTGATAGTAAGTCTGGTTTATTGTCAAAAGTAAGTCTGGTTTAATTGTCTGAAAGTAAGTCTGGTTAATTGTCTGAAGTACAATTAAACATTCTGATAGTAAGTCTGGTTTATTGTCTAAAGTAAGTCTGGTTTATTGTCTAAAGTAAGTCTGGTTAATTGTCTGAAGTACAATTAAACATTCTGATAGTAAGTCTGGTTTATTGTCTAAAGCAGATAACATAATCCTGTGTTTTGGCTTCAGTAATGTGTGTCTTGGTCACCTGCAGTGACGCTGTCAAAACGTTTGGAAAAGGTTACAAATGAAACTAGAAATACTTTATCAGCATGATAGCAGAAAGTAATGAGATGATGAAGTGCTTTTAAAAATGGAGACATTTCAATTACTTGAATAGAGAGAGGGGTGAGATAGATCACTCACCCTATCTATGCAGCTGTACCACTGTATGTCTGATACTGAGCCAGCTGCATTTAAAGCACAATGTAGAGCCTGTGTCCCAAAAGGCATCCTATTTCCTATACACTGAGTGTACTAAACATTAGGAACACCTTCCTAATATTGAGTTCCACCCCCTTTTGCCCACAGAACCGCCTCAATTTGTCGGGCATGGTCTCTGCAAGGTGTCGAAAGCGTTCCACAGGGATGCTGGCCGATGTTGACTCCAATGCTTCCCACAGTTGTGTCAAGTTGGCTGGATGTCCTTTGGGAGGTGGACCATTCTTGATACACACCGGAAACTATTGAGCGTGAAAAACCCAGCAGCTTTGCAGTTCTTGACACAATCAAACCAGTGCGCCTGGCACCTACTACCATACCCCGTTCAAAGGCACTTAAATATTTTGTCTTGCCCATTGGCACACACACAATCCATGTCTCAATGGCTTAAATATCCTTCTTTAATCTGTCTCCTCCCCTTACTCTACACTGATTTAAGTGGATTTAACAGGTGACATCAATAAGGGATCATAGCTTTCAGCTGGATTCACCTGGTCAGTCTATGTCATGGAAAGAGCAGGTGTTTTCTGTTTTGTACACTCAGTGTCTTGTGCCCTGGTCAAAAGTAGTGCACTACATGGGGAATAAGGTGCCATTTGGGATGCAGACAGGGTCTATCTATGCAGCTGCATCCAATCCTCTCACTGTGTTTCTGATACTGAGCCAGCTGCATCTGACGCGCAGTCAGAGAGAGACAGAGAGAATGATCCTCCGTACTGCGTACGTAGTCTCTGGTGCTCTGTTAATGCCACCGTCCACCGACGGAGATCAATGTCAACAGGAACACTGTCTGCATATACATGCACTTCTTGTTTTGTTTTGTTTTATTTGCACCAAAGAAAACAACAATACAGATAAAAACGAAATGTATAAAACGGTGTGCAGGTGTGGTTGGAAGCCCAAGGGCTTATATGATACCCACAACACAAAAAAACAATATACAATATATAAGGACAAAAATAAAAAAGGTTTGATAAAACAGATAACAAAACTCACTAATTATAAATCTATAAATGAATTGATCAGTAATCACGAAAAAAATGTGTGCATGTGAATGTGTGAGAGTTAGTTATGGAGGAGATTACTGAGTAGTTTGGTTCATCAGGCTGACCCCGTCTTCGCTTGAAATTATTGAGGGATGATGATGTTTTGGCAATGTGAAGATAAGAATTCCAGAGTATGGTACCTCTGTATTTGATAGAGAATTGACTATGTGAGGTGCGGCAGTTGGGAGGGTGAATGTTATCGCAGTGTCTTGTGTTATATAGATGGATTTCAGAATTAGCCTGGAAGAATCCATTGAAGTGTTTAGGTAAACTGTCTGGCAGGTAGGAGTATTTGTAGATGAAAGTGCATAATTGGCGTACATTAATGTCGTAAATAGACAAGATATTGAGTTTCTTAACCAAAGGTGCAGATGGCTCCAGGTAATTAGAGGAGGTGGCTAGTCTTGCAAATGTATTTTGTAGGATGAGTAATTTGTGTAGGTAGGAGGCATATGTACTGGCCCAGACAATATTACAGTAAATGAGATATGGGTAAATGTAGCTATAGTATAGAGTTAGGAAGCAAGCCTGATGTACCAAACTACTAATCTTTCTGATGATACCAACAGATTTCATCACTTTGCTGCAGACAAATTGAATATGATCTTTCCAGGAGGAAACTCAGAAGAATCTAGTGGATGTGACTTGTTCCATTTCATTCCCACCAATTGAGATTCTGGCTTTTATTTATATTTTTTATATATCTTATTCTTAGTAGTGAATACAATAAAGTTCAATTTTTTTACATTTAAAGATCATTTGATTTATCTGGAACCATTCAGAAAATTTGGCCATGCCTGAGTTGGCTTCATTAATTAGTGAATAAAAGTTTTTGTGTGATAAAATCAAATTGGTAACGTCAGCAAAGAGAATGGGAAGTTCGGTAGAAGAAACAGCAGCAAGGTCATTGGAATAACAAAGGTCCAATTATCGAACCCTGTGGCATGCCTCAGGATATCTTGGCCCTGGTAGATGCACAGCCGTTTGCATAAACAAACTGTTCTCTATCATAAACATAACTATAGCCAATTTTTATGTATAATCATGAAAACCGTAATAATGCAATTTAGAAAGTAATATTTAATGATCAACTGTGTCATACGCTTTGGATAAATCTAAAAAGATGCCAAGAACGTCTTCATTGTTGTTCAGGGCTGTAAAGATTTTATCTACAAGTTGCAAAAGAGCTGTGAAGTAGTTTTTATGAAAACCATATTGGTTTTCTAGGATTTTAGAAAAACATGGTAGTACAGATATTGGGTGATAATTTGTAAGATATCTTGGATCCACAGATTTATAGAGGGGGATAACTTTGGCAATTTTCTAATCTTTAGGAACAATACCAGTTTGCATAGATTTGGTGAAGATATACAGTACTCAGAGGCTCAGTAAGCCAGGAAGACACTGATTTCACCAAAGAGGTACCAATGTCATCATGACCTGCTGCTGATATCTTTAAGTTACCAATGACCTCCATCACCTCCATTACATCAGGAGGATCAAACTAAAGCAGAGAAGGGAAATGTCCCTTAATGTAATCCAAGAGATTTCCATCAGCGTTCTCTATTTTCTTTGACAGAGAGGAACCCACATTCACAAAAAAGTTATTAAATTCACATGAAATAACATCAGGATCACTATAGGTCTTATTTCCAACAATAAATTGAGATGGGATAGTTGTAGATGATTTTTCTTATTCATCAGTTGATGTATGGTTTTCCAAGTTGACTTTATATTATTCAAGGATTCTTAGAATTTGTTAGTAAAATATCTTCCTTCCTGATGCGCTCTCTCTGTGTGTGTGTGTTTGCGTGCGTGCATGCGTACGTGCGCGAGCATGCGTTTGTGTGCTTTTGTTTGAATCTTCAGAAGCCATTAGTAGTCTGTGGATAATTAGGTAGGATCCTAAAGAAAAGGTTGGCTTGGAAATAATGGTCCCTCTGAACACAGACGTTTAACTCTGTTGCAAAACATAATTGAAGTGTCCCTCATTTCAGTCAGTTACAACAATGAACCCTCTCCATTCATAGAGATGTCACCGAGCCAACGTCTCTCACTGACAAATTATATATATTATTATACACATTCTTATACACCCTGCTATGGGACAAAGCCATCTGGCCTCTCGTGAAATGCTCTCAGTTCTCATTGATATTAGCCTTTCTACATAAGGAGAGTGGCGTGTGTGTTTGTGTCTGGTTTCTGTGCGTGTGTGTGGTTTCTGTGTGTGTGTGCTTGTGTTCGTGTTATCTAACCAACCTTTAGCACTGTGGTGTCTGGTCTCTGACTGAATGAGTTCCGTTGTCTAATCAATCATTCAATTAATCAATCAGTCATACAACATGACCTCTCCTTTCTGACTGCAAGTTGTTGTTGTTGTTAATAAATATGTTATTGATGTGATGTTGATGTGGCCTACGGTTGTCTAGCGGTCTAAGCTACTGCCTTTCAGATCACATATACCGCTGCAGCATGGGTTCTTATCCAGCATCTTTCTCTCTATCCTGTTCAATAAACTACTACTGATGTTGATCATGTTGTTGTCTCTCTTCCTCCCCAGTATTCTGAGCAACGAGCACGGTCCAGAGTGTTACGAGCTCCACGTCTCAGTGAAGGACTACTGCTTCGCCAGAGAGGACCGCATCATCGGCATGGCGGTCCTCCAGCTCAGAGAACTGGCCGACCAGGGGAGCTGCTGTGCCTGCTACCCCCTGGTGAAGAGTATCACCATGGACGAGACCGGACTCACCATCATGAGGATACTCTCTCAAAGGACCAACGACGAAGTGGCCAAAGAGTTTTGTCGTCTCAAGACAGACACACGCTCTTCAGAGGAGGTGGCCTCCTAGTATGGAGATGTGATGGAGGGATGGATGGAATGAATGGATGATTGCATGGAAGGGAGTAGAGGAAGGGGGACAAGGGGAAGGAAGGAAGGAAGATGAAGGCTGACTGAGTTGAGGAGTTATGTTGTGTGTTTTGGTGCATGTGCGTAAAACATCTGTTGGAATGTTCATTTTAAACTACAGTATGTACCAGTGTTTACTTACCGTATGCTCAATATTAAGTACTATATTCTACGAGTTATGTTAACGAGACATGAAATACCTTTTTGTACAACATTTAGATTTGTTCCGATAAAGTGCCAAACCAGAGGGAAAAAAGTATAACAACAACAACAAAACAAAACAACAAAATATAACGGTGATGAATTATGGTGATACTTAGTATGTTTGATGAAAAATTTGCTTGATTATTTGGTTCAGTGTAAAATCATTCTCTCTCTATAAAACGGTGGCATTTTAATCGTTAAAAATCGTTCATTTGCACCCTTGTTTTGTTACTCGTCCCCTCACACAGCACTTGTTGTGCATGTTTCGTTTACAACCATGTCTCTTCCATCATCTCACAGTGACCACAGGGTCAGGGTCCATGTACCCTGGCCCTAAAACTCTTTGTATTTAAGCCGAAACCTGAAAAGAGACCATTTTTTAAAACGGCGATGACTGCTATGTAAACCTTCATAGGTGTTTGTAATTTTATAACCATGACAACAACAAAAAGCCTCCAGTGCTGTCAGTCTACACAGAAAGGGTGGATCCTATTTTCTCTTTTTATTTTTGCCTGTAATCTTTCCGTTCAGCCATCGGCTTCCAGCCTTTCTGTACGACCACTGTGAACACGAGCTTTGGAAGGCAAGCCTACATTACATTGCTGACGGTTTGATATTGTTGTTTCATATTTATTAAGATTACTTTGTTCCTGAGAAACTGCCAAAGTTATATAAAAATGTTTGTACAAAAGCAATCCATTACATGTATGAAAAAGATATATGTACATGTGATCTATTTACTTTTACAATGCTAAATATCTGATTGTTGATGGGGTGGTTCTAGAACTTTATTTTTTTGAGTTTGTGTGAAGCTATTTACAAGATTTGAGAGTCGCAAAATGTTACTTTACACATGAGTTGAATTCAGCATCTGCCATTTGGTTATTTTTTCTTCATAAAGGAAAGAGTCTAACATTGGGTAAATATGCAACATTCCTATGTATTGCACTGATGGCGAATTGTATGTCATGTAAATATATTTAGTGAGAAATTGTACAAAACAACAGTCTCCTTTATTTCCAACACATTGTTCAAAGTGGTTTTTAGTTGTTACATAATCTGATACATTAAGTCAGTGATATAGTCCTATAGGCTGTAGCCTCTATATACAGTATGTATTACCAGAAGAAATTCCACTTCTCAAATGGCATGAGAGAGTAATGTACTGTATGGCCCACAGAGATTCTGTAAATCACTAGAGGTTAGGGTTGATTTCTTGGTGGGATTAATTTGAGCCCATGGCCACAGGGGACAATGAAGTTACAGATTGCATCTTTAAGTCATTCTATTGTATGAACCTTCCTACTAAAAGATGCAATCTGTAACTTCATTGTCCCCTGTGGCCATGGGCTCAAATGAAACCCACCAAGTAATCAACCCTAACCTTTCCTAACCCTCTCCTGGGGGACCACCAGACAGTGCTCATTTTCGCGCTAGCCCCAACATTCCGAGGATGACAATACTTTAACACTAATCAATAGAGAACATTTTCAATGCCCCTTTTGAAGCTCAGAGTGAGAATGAAATTACTCACAGGTCCTGTTCAGACTGGGTGTGTCAAAAACAAGGAAGTCATTTCATTGGTTCTAGCCAGCGGAATCGAGGGGTGTGTCCGAGCCCTATGGGCCCTGGTCAAAAGTAGTTCACTATGTAGGGAATAGGGTGCCATTTGAGACACTGACCAATAGAGAACACTCACCATGGGCTATTCTTCTGTGTAGTCCCGAGGCAGCTAGCTAGCTAATCTTAGCTGCTTGCTCATTCTCCCCAACAATCGTGTTATTGTGGAGAGCTGAAAGGCTTCAATAGACAGACCAGTCTTTAATTAGTCTGTACAAAGAGCATTTTGGGATCTTGGGACCATAATGTTCTATTTGCAATTTTTTTAATATATTGTATTCTTTTGAACTTAACAACATGAATTGGGGTAATTCGATACTACTATAAGTAGAGAACATTGAACAGAACAAGGCTATGTCAATAACTACATTTTGACAAAAATGTCAGATAGACCCTTATAGCCTCAAGGTCTCGATTTATCAATGTCATCCTATTGTCTACATCCCAAACAGCCCCCTATATAGTACACTTCTTTATACCATAGCCAATAGGGCTATAAATTCCCCATAAGGCACAGGGTGTCATTTGGGATGCAGTCTTGTCTTTGTTTTACAGTGAAGGGGGCCTGGCTGGCTGCTGGGAGGAGAGCTATTTATAATTCTGCTGTTGGATGCATGGTGCCTTCAGAGATCAATTCCCTCTCTCTCTCTCTCTCTCTCTCTCTCTCGTCAGCTATCCCGCGATAGGAGGGAGAGAGAGGGAAGGAAGGAGGAAAGCTAGAAGAGAGAGAGAGAGAGAGAGAGAGAGAGCGAGAGCGAGAGAGAGCGAGCGAGAGGGAGCTGAGAGAGGAGAGACGAGAGAGAGGAGGAGATCCCTCTCTACTCTCGATATCTCTCTCTCTCTCTCTCTCTCTCTCTCTCTCTCCTCTCTCTCTCTCTCTCTCTCAGCACACAAGCTGTAATGTCTGAGCTAGGCTCATAGAGGCTCAGCCTGAAGCATTTGAAGCTAGCTAACACTTCCTGCTGGGCAAGGTTGTGTCTTAAATGACACCCTATTCTCTACATACTGCTATGGGCCCTGGTCAAAAGTAGTGCACTAAGTCTCCATCGGCGCAGACGCACGTCACAAACAGTATGGGTGCCTTTTGTAGATATTCTCGCCCCAATGGTGTAACTCTGTAATGTAGAATAATGGTAGCAGAAGCAGACAGTAGAGGAATGTTAACACCAGCAAAAACCTGTCATTATCTGCATGTCGAGCCCTTATATTTAGCCTCACGATTAAGTGTTTTACCATTTTATTTTCAGGTCAAGCAGGGCTATAAGTATAACACAAAACAATTTGACATAAACAGTTGCATTCATTAGTTATTTTGACAAATATAAATTTAAAAAACTGTCCGCCAAAGCAAAAACCTGATAAAAATGTATTTATATGAATACTGTAAGTACAGAAATGGTTTGCTCAGTGGGAAATGAATATCCAACTAGTCAGTGACAACTGTGTGGAGTTTGGTGTTTGTGACAGCAACTATGGGAGCTTATTACAGTATTATAGACAATATGTCCATGAATGTCCTATGAAGTTCTATGTAAAAGAACCCCTTGCGTTCTAACGACTCTTGTGTAGCTTGTGAGTATTATAAAGCAAAACGTGCATGTTTGTGAGAGTCTCAGCTTTTCATAGATAGGCAGGAGAAAGGAGAGGCAGGGCAGGAGAGAGGAGAGGATGGGGAGGCAGGGGAGGGGGAGGCAGGGCAGGAGAGAGGAGTGATGGGGAGGCAGGGAGGGAGGGGGAGGCAAGGGAGAGAGGAAGGCAGTGGATGGGGAGGGAGGGGAGGGGGAGCAGGGCCGGAGAGAGGAGTGGATGGTGGGAGGAGGGGAGGGGAGGGGGAGGGGGGCAGGAAGGAGAGAGGAGTGGATGGGGAGGCAGGGAGGGAGGGGGAGGCAGGGGCAGGAGAGAGGAGTGGATGGGGAGGCAGCAGGGGAGGGGAGGGAGTGGGAGGGGGGAGGCAGGGCCGGGAGAGGAGTGGATGGGGAGGGGGAGGCAGGGAAGGGAGGGGGGAGGCAGGGCAGGAGAGCGGATGTGGTGGATGGGGAAGGCAGGGGAGGGAGGGGGGAGCAGGGCAGGAGAGAGTGAGCGGATGGGGAGGCAGGGGAGGGGCGGGGGGAGGCAGGGCAGGGCAGGAGAGAGGAGAAGCTGGGGAGGGGCAGGGCAGGCAAGACGGAGGGCAGGGGCGCGGAGCGGGTTAAGGGTTCGGCCCTGGGCGTGGAGGCCGGTCCCTCCCGAGGGTAGGTCCGGACTGGGCGGGGAGGTGACCCCGTTAGGGTAGGTACGGCCTGGGCGGGGAGGTGCTCCCGTCGCGTCGGTTCAGGGAATGGGCGGGAGGTGCACCAGTCGGGTCGGTACGGCCTGGGGGGGAGGTCCCCCCCCTCCAGTAGGGTCGTTCAGGCCGGGGGAGGGAGGTCCATACCGTAGGGTAGGTCAGAATGGGAGGGGCGGTGCCTCAGTCGAGTAGGTCAGGCCTGGGTCCGGGCGGTGGTGACTCCAGTAGGGTAGGGTAAGGAAGGGGAGGGAGGTGAGGTGAATACAGTAGGGTAGGTAAGGACTGGGAGGGGGCTGGGAGGTTTGAAGTACAGTAGGGTAGGTAAGGAATGGGCGGGGGAGGTGAGGTGAATACAGAGGGTAGGTTCAGGAATGGGAGGGGCGGTGAACTACGTTCGAGTAGGTCAGGAAGGGGGCGGTGACTGCCAGTCGGGTCGGTCCGAGACTGGGCGGGGCGGTGTGCCGGTGCCCCAGTTAGGGTCGTCCGGCCGGAATGGGAAAGGGGAGTGCCTACCGTAGGGTAGGTCAGGAATGGGAGGGGGAGGTGAAGACAGTGTAGAGTAGGTAAGGAATTGGAGGGGAGGTGAAATTAAGTCGGGTAGGTAAGGAATGGAGGGGAGGTGAGGGAATACAGTAGGGTAGGTTAAGGAATGGGAAGGGGAGGTGAGGTGGATTGCAGCCAGTCGGGTACGGTAAGGAATGGGAGGGGAGGTTGAATACCGTAGAGTAGGTGGTCCGGAAGGGGCGGGTGCTCCCGTCGGGTCGGTAAGGACTGGGGCGGGGCGGTGAATCCCGTCGGTCGGTCAGGCCTGGGGGGAGGTTGACTCCGTCGGGTAGGTTCGGCATGGGAGCGGGAGGTGCATCCGTCGAGTAGGGCCGGACTGGCGGGGAGGGTGAGTGAGGTGACTACAGTAGGGTAGGTAAGGCCTGGCCGGGGAGGTGAATACAGTCGGGTAGGTAAGGCAGGGGCGGGGCTCCCGTAGGGTAGGGGAAGGAATGGGAGGGGACGGTGACATAACAGAGGGTAGGTAAGGAATGGGAGGAGGTGACTACAGTGAGGAGGTAAGGAGGGGAGGTGAATCCGTAGGGTAGGTAAGGAAAATTTTTTTTTTGGAGGGAAGGGGAGGTGAGGTGAATACAGTAGGGTAGGGTAAGGAATGGGAGGGGAGGTGAGGTTGACTACAGTAGGTAGGTAAGGAATGGGCGGAGGGGAGGTGAAGCTGGTGAATACCGTAGGTAGGTAAGGAGGGGAGAGGAATACAGTAGGGTAGGTAAGAGGAATTGGAGGGGAGGTGAATACGTTGGGGGAGGTTACGGAATGGGAGGGGAGGTGAAATACAGTAGGGTAGGGGTAGGGAAGGGAGGGAGGTGAATAACAGTAGAGTCAGTAGGTAATGAATGAGAGGGGAGGTTGAATACAGTAGGGTAGGGTTAAGGAATGGAGGGGAGGTGAATACAGTAGGGGTAGGTAAGGAAGGTAAGGAATGCGAGAGGGGAGAGGTGAAACAGTAGGTAGGTAAGGAAGGGGAGGGGAGGTGAGGGTTGAATACAGGCAGGTAGGTAAGGAATGGGAGGTGAGGGTGATACAGTAGGGTAGGTAAGGAATGGGAGGGGGAGGTGAATACAGTAGGGTAGGTAAGGAATGGGAGGGGAGGTGAATACAGTTTAGCGTAGGTACGGGAAGGGGAGGTGAATACAGTAGGGTAGGTAAGGAATGGGAGGGGAGTGAATACAGTAGGGTAGTAAGGGGAATGGGAGGGTGAGGTGAATACAGTAGAGTAGGTAAGAATGGAGAGGGGAGGTGAATACAGTAGAGTAGGTAAGGAATGGGAGGGGAGGTGAAGGGAGGTGAATACAGTTAGGGTAGGTAAGGAAGGAGGGAGGTGAATAAAGTAGGGTAGTTAAGGGAATGGGAGGGGAGGTGAATACAGTAGAGTAGGTAAGGAAGGGGAGTGAATACAGTAGGGTAGGTAAGGAATGGGAGGGGAGGTGAATACAGTAGGGTAGGTAAGGAATGGGAGGGGAGGGGAATACAGTAGAGTAGGTAAGGAAGGGGAGGTGAATACAGTAGGGTAGGTAAGGAATGGGAGGGGAGGTGAATACAGTAGAGTAGGTAAGG